GCAGGGTTTGGACTAGATGACCTCCAAGGTCCCTTCCAATATTATTATTATTATTATTATTATTATTATTATTATTATTATTATTATTATTATTATTATTATTATTATTATTATTATTATTATTATTATTATTATTATTGTGTCATTTTTAACCAAATGCATTGATAAATATGCTCATTAATTTTAAAAGCCTTATTCTTAAGCACTACATTACTCAAACATGATTGCTTCTTTGTCTTGTGTACTATGTACAGTAAAAATATTTTCCCCAACTTTTCTACAGATGAATTTCTAAAGTGTGTGGTTATCATGACAAAGAGATAGAATGCATGGTGGTTCTATTAACTCTTTGTTATATTGTGCATGTTAGACTCATCTAAGCTCATTCCTTGCCTGAGAGTCCTTCACCAGCTTGGGAGCAAAATAATATGACCCATTTGTTTATAATTTTAAAAAGGCCTTTTCCTTTCCATTTTGAGGAACAGACATTAAGGACTATTATGACATTGTAATAATAGTACTGAAGGTATGAAAGTAGCCACAAAAGCCACTAGTAGAATTGCACAACAGAACAGTAAATGTGTAAACGAGGGCAAAAGGGGGTTTTGGCAAGAAAATGTTTAAGAGGTTTTGGTGGGAAGAACTCTTGGCATGTTTCCAGACCTTTGGTATAAATTGTCAATGCTGGCACAAATCACATAACAGCGTATTTTTTATCACATAAAACAAACTCTTGGACAGAAATGATCAAGCATATAACAGGTAATTTTCATAAAACAAATGTACATAAAGAGAAACCTGTATTTAGGTTACATATTGCCATAATATATGGTTAATATAAACATGAGAGTTATTATGTTTCTACGATATTTATGAGACATATTCATATCTTTCTTCATTGTAGACTGAAACAGTATATTAACATCTATATTTGACAACAGTTACAGTGACTAATTAACCAAATAAACCAGAAATAAATTATCTCAGAATATGCAACAAACAACTGTGTAATTATGCCTTATATTGATCTGCCTACACATTTCCTTTTTAAAAAAAAAGACTGCTTTAATGATATGCATTATACTATTGCATTTTAACATGCAATAATACAAGATGCATTATTTTATTTGGGCACAGTGGTAATATAGTATTAACTAAATGCTTGGAAGAATAAACCTTTGGTCCCGGTGACCAGCTGAGATTGGATCCTGCAGTATTAACAATGAAGTCCTAGCAGTAAAGGAGAATATTAGTAGCTCAGGATTGAAATGAGGGGTCTTTGCTGCTCTCTGAACTTGGTTGTTTTCTTGCAAATGCTTCATCACCCAAATTAGGTAACATCATCAGTACTAAATGTCTATGGAGATTCTCAGTCATCCAGGCCGTGGTTGTCCCAAAGGTGCTTTTTCAAGAGACAACTGGACTTCCTTGTTTTTCTTTGAACACGTTTTGCTTCTCATCCAAGAAGGTTCTTTAGCTCTGACTAGATGGTGGGGGTGGAAGGATTTATATTGCTTGTAGATAGCTGGTCATTTGCATTATTTTAGAGAGTCATTGAAGCCACTTGACCTCAATCAGTGTCCTCAAGGTCACCTGAGTAGTGCAAATGGGTGTGGGGCCTCCTACAAAACAGTCCTTTCAGCAGTTCCAACGAGCAGTTCCATCAGTGCTAGTAAGAAGTGGGCTTGCTCTCATTTCATATTCTACCGGTAGTGGCTTGCCCTGTCAGTGATGGTGGGAGTGGTTTTGGTGGGTTTTTGGTTGGACTGCTTATTCTTGGCTTGTTTCAGTTTCTTGATTGGAGTATTGTTTACTTGATTGTTGGTCTGATGTTAATCATGGAGTTCATCTATTTTGGATAATGAAATGTCTACAAGAAAACAACCAAGTTCAGAGGGCACCAAAGAGCCTTCAGTGAACTTCTAGAAATTCGGTCTGTTGGTCTGCCTTAAAAACATTAGATACAGAGACAAGAGGCAAAGGTAGGATCACTACAGTGGTAGCATTTTTTTCTGTTAATCCACCAGCCACCTCTAACAAAGAGTGCCCCTATCAAGACCCCAGGCCAACTGGCAGAATTAGAATTTCATGCCCTTCCAGATGTCAAAAAGGAAAGGGACAGATCTTATCTCAGATAGCAAGATATTCCAAAAAATGGGGACCATAGTAGAAAAAATTCTTTTTCTAGATCTTGCCAACCAAAACTAATTTGAGACAGAAAGCCAAACCTGCCTTGTGGGTTGATCTGTTTAGTACTTGTCTTCAATGATCAGAAGTGGAGTGATTTTTAGGCTCTTGGCCATATTTATATTATTGTTTGGGGTGTTTATTTTTATACAGTTTTTTAAATTTTAAATTTTAAATTCAAGGATACCATAAAATTAGCATAATTGGTTCAAGTTTCGCAAAGACGATGTCATCTCCCCAACATTAGACTCATTGGAAATCACACCCAGTTTATTTACTTGTATTCCCATATTTCTCAGGCACAGAGGCTGTTATTAGGTGCTGGAGGCCTGCAATTACTGCAGTTGCTCCAACCGTGACTACAGAATGTTTAACCATGATTGAATCATGGACTAGTGGTTGTGGTAGTTTCTGTCATTGCTAGCTGGCAATACTAGCTATTTTCTGGAATAACTGGTCCATTTGCATTATCACTTGATTCTTACACTGGAGAAAGGCACTAGTAATTTGATTGACAGCTGTAATGGTATGTGGACATGATTGTACATAAAAAAATCATTACATCAATCCTTTAGGTCACAAAGACTGAAAAACTATCATTTATAATTAAGAGCAATTAAAAAACACAATGTTTGAAAATTAATTACAAATTTTAAAAAATGGAAGTGATGAGAAGGAATTATTATTCAAATAACAGTTTACACACAGAGAAATATACAGCATGAGCTCTGCCCAAAAAAACTCTCAAGATGAAAGGAAACAAAATATATTTTTCCTTTTCTACTATCTACAGTTAATCATCTTCCCTACTAAATTACCAAGAAAGCTAATTATTTCTTTAACATTCTTCATGTCTGAATAAAAGGTCTGACACAATTGTTTATAATGAAATTCTGCAGATATGTAACTATATAATTTAGAAATGCCAGAATTCTCTCTTGGATGGTGTAGTTTTGGGGTGATTACTTTTATTTTTGCATTTGTAAAGTATTTCTACATTACAACCTCCTTTTCTTGAATCCCTTAAACTCTCAGAGATTTCATTTTTGAATATGAGTAGTAGTTTTGTCATTTCTTTCACTGTTCTCAAAAATAAGCAGAATGCAGCTTATTGTGTGACGTGCTGCATATCATTATCTTGCATGTATGTTGTCATGTGTTTCAGAGGTTTATCGATTTTTACAATCTTGCTGACAAAATAAATCTTAATTGTTGTCTAGTTCTAGTAATAACAGGTTAGACTCAACCATCCTGAATTTCCCCCATTCTATATCCAGAAAATAAAATGAATTAATTATAAATATAATTTCAGGATTAATTTCCAGCATTACTCTGTGTGTGTGTGTGTGTGTGTGTGTATGTGTGTTAAACAGTATTTTGTACATTATGGAAAAATGATTGAAGAAATTTAAAGAATGTACTTAATGCAGCCTGTACTTGATTTCTATTATAACACTGAATTTAGAGAAGTTATAAATTCTTCAGGTATATGCACAACATCTAGTTTTCAGTTCACTATTCTTCAACAATAAAATAGTGAAGTTCAATCAAGATAAGGTTTTAAAAATAATAATAATAATAATAATAATAATAATAATAATAATAATATAATTATAATAATTATAATGACTGTGGCAAAGGCAAGCAAGGGTAGTACCAATAGTAATAGGCGCCTTGGGTGCAATCCCAAAACAACTGGAGCACCATCTGAACACCATTGGCATTGACAAATTCGCCATTAGTCAATTGCAAAAGGTGGCCTTATTAGGAACTGCTTCCATCCTGCGACAATATCTGTAACACCATCAAAGTTCCAGATCTGCCAATCCCAGGTCCTTGGTAAGGACTGAATAGGTAGACAAAAATGCCAAATCCAGTCTGAACATTTGGCTGACTGTGCAATGATCAATAGTAGTAGTAGTAGTAGTAGTAGTAGTAGTAGTAATAATAATAATAATAATAATAATAATAATACATAGGTTTATATGCTGATGACCATGTCCACATGATAATTCTAAGGATGACTAAGTACAATTGATAGTTTCCAAAGGTATCTATAGCAGTATTATAGCTTCAGTTCTAACCTACATCATGAACATTATTAAAATCTGTCTAAATTTAATTATCTACCAAAATGTCCTGTCTCAATTTTCCTATTCATTCCTTCTGTATCTTACTTCCTACAACAATTCTACATATATATAATCATCATGTAATATAACACATAAAAATACCATATCTATATTAACATTATTCAGGAACTGATAGGGAAAAATCTCTAGTTTAAATCTATTTACAATTTTAGGAAGAATTATAAGGTTTCATACAAATAAATGAACATTGTCAAAACCTATTTTTAAACTGGACTTTCCTTTCATATGAAATAGAAGAAACAGAAAGAAAACATGTTTTAAGCATAATTTGCATGTCATGTTTATTTTTCTGTGAAATATCAGAAAATCAGATTTGTGATTTTAGCACTGCAAGGAAGTGAACAACCAACAGCAAGGATGATGGACAATTATTGCAGCAATGGGCATGCCGTTAAAAGACCTGAAGGACTAGGTTAAAGAAAATCTATGTGATCAGTAAAAATCAACATTCACTTGATGGCACATAATGCAACTTTTTGATTGACTGATTAACTATATCCAGAAAATCCTGCATTTCAATTAATGTAATGAAAGAAATTAATTGTGGTCAGAAATACATTCCAGTATAAATATAAGACAGTCTGAATAAGCTGGTAAAATTGGCTATTTTTCTAACTTCATTAATATAATCTTAAAGGAAATAAAGCATTCATTTCTTACTTGCAGTACCATCACTAATCTCTTCAAGTCCAGTAGTTATACCAGCATCAATGGAACTCATTATTTTATCAATCTGCAAGAAAAAATAGGGATTTTTAAAACACATATTGTAATTTAAATTAACATGTAAATATACAATAAGAACTGTAGAGGCAAAATAATTACTTTTGTTATTTAAATGTTACTATAAAGTTGAGAATAGTATACACATATCTACAAATAACACAAAATGAACAGCTAAAGCTGAACTATTATTAACATGAATTTCAATGGTGTTCAGATAATCATAATATAGAATCCACACAGTGCTGGAAACATTTCATTAAATACGTATTTAAATGACCACCTAAAAAGGTCTTCAGTGGGTGCTATTATATAACGAAGGAAGGAAGGAAGGAAGGAAGGAAGGAAGGAGGGAAGGAAGGAAGGAAGGAAGGAAGGAAGGAAGGAAGGAAGGAAGGAAGGAAGGAAGGAAGGAAGGAAGGAAAGAAAAATGATGTATAATCTTTGAATATTTGATCTTATCAAATGCAGGCACACTATGAATGATTTATATTTGTATTTCATCAATTTCCCTAGCTTTTCTTTTTCTTAGGAAAATACCAAGTATAAGCTATGCATATTTTATAAAATTGTTAGGTATTTGTTCTACATCACAGGTGTCAAACTCATGACGTCACGTGATATGTTGCGATGTATCGCGATTTTTTCCCCATTGCCGGCAATGGGGTGATGCATAGGGCCCACAGGCCGGCAGTTTGACACCCCTGTCATTTGCATCTTTGTTCTACATGCACTGTGCACAGATTTTTCATGGAGAAAAACATTATTACAGGAAGATTTGGCACACTTTTGCAGAAAAACAGAATAGAAGGTTAATTATTTATTTTTCTCAATTTGGGGTATATACAGAAGTTTGTTTATTGACTTTTCCTGAGTGTACTGCATCACAACTAGTGTCTGAAGCACCTTAGTTTCACAAATTTCAGTTGATGTCTTTTTCAGAATGTTTAGCAAGTTCAAATGTTTTGTCAATTGATCTGGAACACTACTAAGTAAAATAAAAAGATATTCCTTTAAGTGAGATACTGCCATTTGAAGTTTGATTTGCATATAAGCATTTCAGATGAAAAAGAAGTCAAGATACTGACAAGTATCCTAAAACTACTCTACTGATATTAATAGTTGGTGGGACATGGCATCTGTATACTTGTAAGGTAGTCTCTAGTTTAAAGATCCTAGCTTGTATTGAATAACTTGAGCATCCTTAGGATACAACTCAGTTTTGGTTGCACATGTGGCATACTGACCAAAATATATCCAACCTGACCACAATCAGGAAAAGTTGCATGTGATATGTGTACAACTAAGGCTACTAATTTAGTTTACTCTTTCTTTGTCTTACTAAAATGCCTTACTTGAATATTTTGATGAACTAAAACTATGATAGTTAATATAGATCAAGATGTTTGGCCCCATCTGATAACAATCATGGCATAGGAAGTAAATATTACTCTTTTTGAAGGGATTTGATCTTTTAAATCTAAACAGGTAGTCCTCAATAGCCTGATATTATGGGTCACAAGTTGTGATGGCTGTTAAGTGAAGCACCCATGAGATCACCTGGCTTAATGACCCCCAATCTCTTCTCTCCCCAATGTGATCATTAAAGCTGAAAGGAGAAGGCTAGAAGTTGTGGGGAGGTGGTGGGGAAATGAAACTGGAAGAAAGCTCTTTACTACTTTCATTTCTCCTGGCATTTCACACCTTGTCCTGCCTGGGCTAGAAAGAAAGGTATTGCAGAACAAGAGCAAGCTGTTCTGTCCCTCGGCATTCTGAGGCTATGTGGCTACTAGTATTGCTAGATAGTGTCCCTAGACACTTCAAAAAATGGCAACTTCCTGCTGATTTCCCTTGACCGGCATAAGTGAAAAAGCTGGCAGGAAATTGCAAGTCCCAGACTGGCAGGTAGGGTGAGTGAAGGAATAAGGGATTGTGTGGCAAGGTTTGAGGATGATGTGGGAGGATATTGTGGGAGGCACGGGAAGGGTTGAAATGCAATTCTATTATTTTATTCACCCTTCTTCCTCCATGAATACTTACTTCTTCCCATTCTGAAGTAAATGACGGTGTTCTTTCAGAATTTCTTCTAGAGGTTTCTTGGATAGCTGAAGAGTCATTCCAATTCTGTCTTGCTTTGTGATCATTAGATGGATAAGAAATAAGATCTGAATCTGATTTAGAAATGTATTTGGATAAATGAATGTCAAGAAGTGTCTTTGGCAAAGATCGTATTCGTCCAAGTGTGCAAGCACGTTCTACAATTCCTGCAGCATTAATTACCCACTGATCTCCAGTTCTTGTGATACCGGCCAATGTGTTAGCTTCTCCTATAATGTTTTTAGAAGGAAATATAGTTCTATTCAAAATTGGTGGTTTTTTCTTTTTAACCAGAAGACCAGTGCTATTTTCTTGCAAAGATTGTTGTGGATTCAAAATACTGAGGTTCAAACTAATTTTCTGATTCAAGTCATCCTTTGGACAAGTTTTTCTGTAGAGCTGAAATGGATTTTCTGGTGGGTCACAAGCAGGTGATGATCCATGTAGAAGGCCAGCAAACTGCTCCAAAGGGTATGCTTCTAGATGATCACTGTCAATGGATGTTTGCTGGGTTTCTGTAAAATATAATGATCCTTATGGTTTATTATTTTAAACAGAAATCTTTCTTTCCTTTAGCAATAATGCATTGTTGCTTGCAAAATTAGAAAAAAATCTGATAGTAGTGTTAAAGAAAATCAGTTTGCTTTTTAATTATGTTCAACTAGTTCACTGGAAATAATACACCATAACAAAAAGAAAAATAATATACTGTTCTACATTTCTTGAATTAGTCACTTACTTTGAGAATCTTAGCCTTATTAAATTTCTATGAAGTTGATATAAACAAGAATCATATAATTCGGTGTGTCATAATCTTTTAAATTTTAAATTCTCTTTATCTACTATGCAAGATATATACGTAAGCACTGAAAAACCCGATTAATGGTGGCAAATAGCCGCTCCCCTCCACAAAGTAAAATGAAGACTGTGACTTCTTACATGTTACAGTTTTTCTTAATTATCCTTGCTTTTCTACATCTGCATGTGTCATGTATGTAACACTAATAGTACAGGTAAATGGATTTATCAATTGAAATAACATGCCTGTGTCTAGACAGTGTCTAGAATTGAAGTGTTTCAATATACTGAATATTTCTTTTGCTTTCACCTTTGTTCAGGTACATAATACATAATAGCTTTAAATTATCTTTTCCTTGGTGTTCATTCAAGATAAACTATAGATAGAACTAAGAAAATAATTTAAGCTCCACTTGGAAGTATACGTGCATCAACCTAATAGTGGTGTGTTTTATTTATTTATAATATTAAGAACACTGTTTTTCAAAATAATTATTAAAGATTATAATTGCAATAGTAAAAGAAGGAAAGAAGAATAGAAAGAAAGAGTATATACTGCAAAGGAAAATTAAAAAATTAAGAGAACAGAAAGAAAGAAAATAAAGAAAAGTACCAATATAATGAAGAACAAGAAAATACACATATAAAGAAGTGACTTTCAACTTTCATCACAATAAGTATAAACAATTTCAGTAACTTTTTACCGTCTTTTAATTTATATCCAATTATCTCTTCATCCTATGTCCCATCTCTTATATATAAACAAATCCATCAAGCATTTTGAGGTGGTTCTTAGAAGTTTCTGAAACAGTTTTGTCTTATTTGGAGTTTCCCCAAAGTTTTATATTTTAGACTGATATGATTCATTCAAAGCTTAAATCATGGATTATTATTAATGGTATAATTCCTCCTTGATCAAATTTATGAACACATCAAAGATACCTTCTTTCTATAGTTTTGATTTTATTTTAGTACTTATTGCTAATATAATTAGACTTTCTGAAAATATTTATAGAACTAAGTTTTAGAAGACCCAGCAAAGTAGGACTAAGGTTTTAGATTAGTATTTGTCTTCTTGCTATAAAAATGTCAAGGGATTTTTATCTTGCTATAAAAATGTCAAGGGATTTTTCTCAGAATTGTAAATTTGAAATGATCATATGATTATAAAAATGGAGACAATTGAGTAACAAGGTCTACAATATATAGGGTAAAATAAAAGTGATTAATTTAACTGTGGAGTTGATTAACATTCTTATTGGCCATCTACATATTTTCCAATAAATTACATTAAATAATTTAGCAATGCTCTCAGTACTTTAGCAAGTATATCTTGTATGATTTTCACTGTGCAAATTACAAATTCATGTTGTAAAAAGTGGATTCAACATTCCAGACTTTAAAATTTATTATAAGGCATTTATCCAACCTGGCTAGAATAAAAACTGTTAATATAAGTCTCATTCAATTATTGTGTGTTAAAGCTTAATATGTTTTAGGATGGATCAAGACAGCAAGTATGCTAGTTTTCAGAGGCATGAAGCTTGCCAAAATAATTATCAACCTAGACTGTGAAGGGACAAATTTAAAACTGAATGGCAGCAATGTTCATGTAGGATGTCTTGTCAACATTTCAGTTAGCTTTTATTTTCAACAAGAGGCAAGGAAGAAGACTGTTCTGCAATATGGTAAAGGATTTTGGAGTTCTTCTGTTTATAAAATAATTTCCAAAATCTTTTAGTCATTTAAAAATTATTAGGATTATTAAGGTTGAAATTAAATTTTTCATTAATTTTATTGTATTGTATGTATTTATTCTTGTTTAGTTTTATACAATAAAACTATATAACAATAATATTATAAACATTCATATACACATACACACCCACACATATATTGCTGTTATATATTTTGAAATATTTTAAGTGAAATATTATTTTGCAAAGTTTACATAGGAAAATCAAACATAGTCTATAGGTTGGCAAATATACTCCTTCAAACACTAAGAGTTTTGTTTTTTCATTCAGTTTCCAATGTATATGCTGCATCAGGCTAATATCCTTCATTCTAAATATTACCGTATATAATGGAGTACTGGGAACAGTTGAACTATATACTAAAGTAATAAAACTGCATTTTTGTTATGAGTGAAAACTGAATTAATCATACCTACTGAATAAAAATATGTGTAACAAAGCAAGAATCAAATTATTAGATGAATAATGCTTGTAAAAATTATATCATATTATATCAATAATAAGCACTGTGGTTGCCATAGCAAAGGATTCTAGTATGAAATAAAATCTCTTGTTTGAAATGTGTGCCATAGCTATGGTAACAAGCACATTATGACACTTCTGCTGCTAATCTACTTAAATTATCTTTATACTTGATTTAGAAAGAAATATTAATAATACAAATCCAAAAATATTTCTAAAAATTGATAATGTGCAATCATTGGCACACTGGAATGTTGAACATTCAATAAGAATTAGAAAAGGAGAGCATTCAGCAAGTTACTGATGCTTTATCCAAGGTATGTTTGAAAAAAATGTTGATGCGTACAAAGCAGTGAACAGGTGTCTTAATTCATAAATCACATTATTTATATGAATGAGAAATGCTACATAAGATACATCATAAAATAGGTATAAATATTTCATAAGACATTATAGAATTTAATGAAGGGCTGGGATATATATATTTGTAATAAATACATGAATAAACAGAACAGATTCATCATTCTCTTTAAATAACAAATAAAATTGGATAGTATTATAAAACAAAAATTGTTAAAAAACTACAAAAGACACATTTCTATAAACATAAAAATACCAAATTTATTATTTATTAATAATAATAAATAATTATTTATTTTTATGATACACAATGAATGCATAACTATTTATGAGTAAATACATATGTATCAGATGTAAATTTGATATAATACAAATACAAATAACTATGTATTTATGTATGTATATACATGCACATATGTATATTTGTGTGTGTGTAAGTGTATGTGTGTGAGAGAGAGAGAGTGACTGCATATAATTCCTAGTTATTGGAATATGAACTGGAAGGCAACCAGGAATCTGAGCCTGAAGCCAGTCATCTGACAAATGGGTGGGGGTTCAGGCAAACCTCAAAAATAGGAAAGGATAAGAGGGAGGGGGGAAAATGGGCTCCTACAATATTTCTGTAGCATTTAGAAGGGAGACTATCAGAAACTCCACACATGCTATATCCACTCCTGTCCCAGTATATGATGAAAGTAAACTATAAGAATAAATGGAATGCTTAGCAAATGGCTTAATACTGAGCAGGAATAAAACAAAGATGTATGTGGTGGAATCTTCAGCTAGAGTGAAGGGAGGGATCAAGGGAGTCCCGAGTTAGAGTCATTGCAACAGCGTAAGCAGCCCAAGCTCGGATCTCACTCAGAATCCTTGAAGCCTTATCTTGCTTTTCTCAGTCTGGCAAGATTCTTGTAACATAGCTGGTTAGCAATAAACTACTGTTGAGATTCTTCCTGCATTATTCTGATCGTTTTTGCCTAACAATGTGTGTCCTTCCTTCCTCATATTTATGTAGTCCTCCACTTCACAGAGTGCGACTCTGTGTGGCATACAATAAAAAACAAACCATAAAACAAACATTCCATGATGAAAAAAGAGAGCATCTTTGATATTACAAACAGTGTAGCCATTATAACAATTCTCCAGTTCCTTGAAATAACCAAGCCTGTTGACACAACCACAATTTGAGGGCCTTCTGGAAAGCTCCCAAGAATGGAGTTAGTCTGACCTTGAGAGAAATAATGCTCTACAGCAGGGGCGTCAAACTCACAACATCACGTGACGTGTTGTGACATATCACAACTTTTTTTCCACCCCGGCAATGGGGTGGGCGTGGTTTCAGCATGACGCATCCAGCCTGTGGGCCGGCAGTTTGACACCCTTGCTCTACAGGGTGAGCTATAGAAAAGGGCTGTCTCCTGGGTCCTGCCAGATTAAGTCCTTAATAGAAGAGACCCACAACATACCTTTCCTGCCAGACATGATAGGACAAGTAAACATAATTAGGAAGAGGATTTAGTTATTTAATGTATTTATGTATACCATTTAGTTTATTCAAAGAAAATTAAATACAAATGCCAAAATATTTAAAAGAAAAAAGACAAAATAAAAAAAAAAACAAGAAACAAGACATTAAAAGGAAAAAGTGTCTTAAAAAAAGGAAAAAGACTAACATATATACACATATCTTCCCTAGTTAATGCTGATCAGTATAATACAACAGTGTTAATTTCCCACCCCTTGTGAAACAGGCCCAAAAAAAAATTAAACTACTAAACTACTAAGTCTGTTTATAAATTGTTGGCCTGTCATCTATATACTATATTAATAACAAAATAGTTAACAGGAAAAACAATAATAAATATATTATATAAAGGTAATAAAATTATTATTAATAAAAGAAAGACAAAATTGAAATTTGAAAAGCTTCTGTTAACCAACTGTTATTGTAATCAACTCATAGAAAATTTACTATGGCTTCAATCCCAAATCATCCCAAATATTAAATTTAATTGGTCCTGGATCAAATATCCATGTTTGTTTCTTAATACCATCTCTTATCAATTGCTGATTGATTGAATATAATAAGTCCAATCTCCAGAGCCAACCTATCTTCCCCCTCCAAAAACCAGATAAGA